TGATTTTATAACAATACTAATAATAAATAAAATACATTTAACTAAACTATATTACATAATAATATTTTTTAACGATTATACTTTTTCTCGATTTTCTTCAAAGAATTTAGGTGAAATTTTTTCTGCCATTTCATTTGGCATTTTTACTTGAACTTTAGTTGTGGTCATTGCATTTGGTGCTTCAAGTATTTCTTGTTCAGGATCGGCGGATTTATGAAATCTGTATTTGTAATTTTTATCATTGCTTTCATTATCCTTATCTTTGTCATGCCATGGAAAAGGTTGGTCTTTTGCTAAATGTACATTTTTATTATTAGGTGTATTAGTTGCTTTACGTCCCAACGTGTAACCTGCTATACCAACAACTCCCGCAAGTATTCCTAGTAATCCTGCATTTTCAGGATCTATTGTTAATAATTTTCTTAATGGTTGTTTACTTTTAGCAATTCCACTACCAATTGGACCTGATGCCATTTTTTAATTGTTTATAAAGATTTTTTTATTGTTTGTCAATAAAGTGTTGCAAGAATCTTTTTTTTTTTTTTTTTTTTTTTTAAAAAAAAAAACCAAAACCATTTTTTAATTGTTTATAAAGATTTTTTTATTGTTTGTCAATAAAGTGTTGCAAGAATCTTTTTTTTTTTTTTTTTTTTTTTGAAAATAAAAACCACCAAGGTTTATTTATATATAAATTTTTATTTTACTATTTATTACTATATTTATCATTTATGATGTAAAAATACATGGTATATTTGATTTGAATTAATTGCATCACCGTGATGAAATATTTTTTATTTTTATATAGTAAAAAATCAAAGGTAACTCGAATGAGTTAATTCAATCCTTCACGTGTAACAAAATTTAGATCGTCAAGATCAACGATGTCAAATAAAAAAGGCATTAGCGAAACCGCGAGATAAACCAGTTAGTTCAGGGTCGATCGGCGTCGATCTTATATATTTTTATGTAAAAATGAGATAATATATTGAAAAAAATGGTCCATATTAATATGGTTGTTTTTAAATTAAAATTCCCTTGCTAATTTCAGACTTCTTATATAAATTTATAAACAGCAAACTTTATCCAATGTACTATATATACAGTATATATAAATATAAATAAATGTGAACTTGTTTTATTAATAAATTTACATGATACAATATTTCTTTTAACAACAAGCTATGATGAATAAGTTGTTTGTTAAATGTAATATTGAAATAAATAAATAAATGCATATTAATTATATAATACATTGCAAGATTATCCATCCTTTAAATTTTTTCAAGAGATACAATCGCTAGATACAGTGCGCGAAAAAAGTAATGAGAATAAAATACACTATAATAAAACCCGATTTTCTTCGCCATATTCAACTAGTTAAAGAAACCGGTTGTATCACAGGTTTAACAATGTTATTAGATAATGTGATTATGTTTTGTTTTGATTTTTTGTATGTATTTTCCAATTTTATCTTCAATACACCATGACTGAAACTCCATTAAAACAACGTTATATGGTTATAACCTCTTCGTGGGAGGCTGGAACTCGTAATGCCGACACTTTACATGATTTGACTTCTATTCCACTTTCCACTATATACAAATACATAAAAAAACTCAAAGATGATATTCCTTTGAATCCTCTACCCCGATCTGGCAGGCCAAAGAAACTTTCTCCTAAACAACGTCGTCATCTCGGTCAACTCGTCTCAGTAAACAAATTTTCTACAAGTACTGAATTTGCAAATATTTTAAACGCCCATAATCCTGACCTAAATGTCAGTAATCGGACGGTGCTCAATGAACTTCATAACATGCAATATCGCGGTACAGTTCCCAAATCTATCCCTCTTCTTACAACCAGTCACAAACAAAATCGAGTAGCATTTGCCATAAAATACAGCAAACAAAACTGGAACAAGGTTATTTTTTCTGACGAAACTACATTCCAGATATTCCGAAATACTCAAAAAGTGTTTTACACAGCCTCCAATTAAAGCTATGGTAAAACATCCATATAAAATTCACGCATGGGGTGCCTTTTCAGTAAAAGGACCAATTGGCTTCTTCCTTTTTACAGATATAATGAACGGTGCCCTTTACCGTAAGATTTTAACTGAAAATCTCTTTGACAATGCAAATACCATCATGAGAAAAAATTGGATGTTCCAGCAGGATAACGATCCGAAGCATAAAGCTAAGGAAACCATGGAACTTCTTGTGCAACGATGCCCAAAGATAATGGATTGGCCATCCAATAGTCCAGATATTAACCCAATTGAAAATTTATGGGCAATTTTAAAGGGTCGTGTAGAGAGAGAAATCAACAAATTATTGGTTAAAAAAAAACCAGTTACTACAGATTGTTTTCGTGAGATAATTCAGAAAGAATGGGAAGGAATCGAAACTGAAACTTTTGTTAATTTAGTTCGTAGTATGTCAAGAAGATTGGAGGATGTGATTGCGGGTAATGGTAATAAGATAAACTATTGAGTAGCCTTAAGTAAACTTATTTGTCGTATCACTAACAGTAAATTTGTAAAATTTTATGCACTTATAACCTTTTCTCGTTGTGAAATGAATAAAAACGTCATTCTCATTACTTTTTTCGCGCACTGTACATGTAATTTAAACGGATATGATCTACATCTTATAACCGATTCTAGAGACAATGTTAATAATGATTCAATATTTGGAAAGGTAAGAATTCATCAGTTATTATTTATTTTCAATAATTTCTATAATTACTGTGATTATTTAATTAATAAAGTTGGATAAATTTTAGCTATCAAAATTATTTAGTGTATCAGATAAAAAACATATCTTTTAATAATATCAAAGGATTATATTTATACGGTGGTGTAAGAACCGGGAAAGCTATGTTAATGTATCTTTTTACGATACTTTGTCTGTTAAACGTAAACGTCGTGTACACTTTCACGCATTCATGCAAGATGTTCACAAACGTATAAATTAGCCAATTCCGCGGCCTATGACCCAATTCCTCCTGTTTCAACTAATTTAGCAAACGATGCTGTAGTATTGTGTTTTGATGAATTTCAAGTCACTGATATAGCAGATGCAATGATATTAAGACGTTTGTTCGAGTGTTTGTTTGAGAGAGGTGTAGTTATCGTCACAACATCAAACTGGCATCCTGACGATCTCTACAAAAATGGAATTCAGCGTAAAAGCTTCAGCCTTATGCAGACAATTTCCGAAAGGTTACACCTTTATTCCTCAGTTCGTAGGGATAGAGCCTCAGCCTGGGAAAAAATATAAGAGGGATATCCCCCCTTATCAATCTTATCGATCTTTGGGTATCGGTCGGATAATTCACTCAAGATCTATGGACCAGGTGATGATTTGACTTCTATTCCACTTTCCACTATATACAAATACATAAAAAAACTCAAAGATGATATTCCTTTGAATCCTCTACCCCGATCTGGCAGGCCAAAGAAACTTTCTCCTAAACAACGTCGTCATCTCGGTCAACTCGTCTCAGTAAACAAATTTTCTACAAGCACTGAACTTGCAAATATTTTAAACGCCCATAATCTTGACCTAAATGTCAGTAATTGGACAGTGCTCAATGAACTTCATAACATGCAATATCGCAGTACAGTTCCCAAATCTATCCCTCTTCTTACAACCAGTCACAAACAAAATCGAGTAGCATTTGCCATAAAATACAGGAAACAAAACTGGAACAAGGTTATTTTTTCTGACGAAACTACATTCCAGATATTCCGAAATACTCAAAAAGTGTTTTACAAGATCGGTACACAGCCTCCAATTAAAGCTATGGTAAAACATCCATATAAAATTCACGCATGGGGTGCCTTTTCAGTAAAAGGACCAATTGGCTTCTTCCTTTTTACAGATATAATGAAC